GTGCGTGGCGGGATGAGCTCCGGCGCGATCTCATGGCGGAATGGCAGCAACGACTGTCGCAACCGAGGGCTGGGCTCGCTGCCATCGCAGCGGTAAGTCCCCTCTTTGAGGAGTGGCTTGAGAGACGCTACGGCGTCCTCACCTACCGCCTGACGCAGGTCCTCACCGGACATGGAAGTTTCGGGAGGTACCTGTGTCTGATGGGGCGGGAGGAAACGCCCGGGTGTCATCACTGCGAGGACCGCCCTGAGGACACGGTGGAACACACGGTGGGAGAATGCCCTTCGTGGGCTGAGCACCGCCGTGTCCTCAGGGAAGTGATCGGCGATGGCGACCTCTCGCGTCCGGGCCTAGTGCAGGCCATGATGCGGAGCGAGGGGGATTGGGATGCCGTCTCCTCCTTTTGCGAAGCAGTCATGCTAGCTAAGGAGGAGGCGGGACGCGTGAGGCAGCGAAGCGCTGCCTCCTCGCAACCCAGCCATCGCGAAGGACACACCGGGCGTCGGGGATCGCGGGACGATCTCCGGCCACCGTAAGCGCGGGCCTGCGGACGGCGAGCATGGGTGGCTCCCCGTCCGACCAGAAACAGACCCGAGCGTACGGCGCGTCGCGTTCCGCGCGCGCCTCAAAGAGCCATCAGACCACCACAGATGGGGCCCAATAGGGCCGATGCCGATTCGGAGTCGCGGAGAACCTAACGGGTAACCGGGGCTCCGGCTCGACGTGCAGGAGAAGGAACGGGGTGGTTTTTAGTCAGTAAGAGTCTGACACTCCCTCCCGCCTCACCCAGGCGGGGGCAGTCATTCGATGATTTTCCCCCCTTAAAAAAAAAAAAAGTATAATTATGTATAACATTTATTTATTTATTAATGATTACAGATGAAATCACGAAAATATAAAAAAAAAGATTACTATCATTAGTTATGATTTTTTTTGTGTAACGAAACGTTTTGAAGCGCTTGTCAGTTGTTAGCTGTTAGTGTTAATATTATTTTTCATTCGCTCTCTGCGTTTCCGTTGTTTTCGCGATAGTTATCATTATTGTTTTGTGTTTTAAACAAAAACCGCAAGTTTTACAGGTTTCAGGACAAATGTTTAGGTATTGGTAATTAATACACTACACGATGCTGAATACTGCATACTTGTACATGACTTCTAATATAGTGGGTCAAAGATGTACTGAGCACCTGGCATTGTCCTTTAATTATTTTTATTTCTTAGGATAGGACCACTCGTAGTTCAGCACGCTAAGGCTGTTAAGTACTTAACCGGACAGAATACCATTAATGCGGAAGCTCGTAACCTATATTTTCGCCGGTAACAAAACCATAGCGCCATCTAACTCGATCCTAACGCCATCTATCGAGGGTTGAAACAACAGGGTACAATTTATTTGCTAATTGTTGAGTAAGTATTGTTTCTTTTCAATAAACACTTCTCTGTAACACTCTCAAGTAACACTTCTCTGCATCTCTGTTAAAATAAACAAATAATAAATAAATATGTATTGTTGACGCTCTGATTTCGTGTACCTTTAACAACCTAAAATGTATAAAATACACAAAAACAAAGTTTTTTAAAACACTTAGCGCCATCTATCGCTAAGTAACGTAACTACTACATAGATATCAATAAGTAATTCGTTGACTTGTTTTAAATGACATACAGTGCCATCTATACCTATACACACAGCGCCATCTATACCAAAATTTTTGTTTTCCCTCGGGAACATCAAATTTTCTGGGATAAAAAGTACCAAGAACTTCTAACTTTACGTTAGCAAAATTTTATAGCGGAACAAACTAACAAACAAACTCACTTTCCGATTTATAATATTAGTAGTGACTAGTAGGGATTACGTTAGATATCTAATAAATAATACATAGTGTCTGTCTATATTTAAATATTTTTTAAACGTTTTTCTTCGATACTATTTACATTCATTAATACAGCTAATTAATGTATATTTTAGCACACATTATACGCCGTGAAATCTATTTAGTTTTCGTCTCGCGGCAAAACAACTTGCCATAAGGAAGGAGTACCTACTTTCGATGTAAGTATAAAGTAAAAACAAAAAAATAGAAGTAGGGTATTTTTAGTTTAAAAAAAATCTCGGACATATGCAGTTATGCACATGAAACACTAGACGTCAATTTGTATGTAGGCACTATTCGCATCGCACGTGCACCCGACGAGAAATACCTCTTCGACAATTACATGGCGTGATGTTTTGATAATGTACTATGAGTTCGTATGCGCTTTCGACGTTTGCTGTTAGCAATGGTTCACCAGTTATTGTTTGTTTTAAACATTTTATTTGTTTGTAAAACTATTGTATTACCGAGACAGAACCATTTTACTTCGGGACAAAAACAATATTAATTTCACGGTGTATATTTACAATTATAATTAAAAGAATGTCTTATCAAATGATACAAACTTACCATTAATGGTTCAAATAAGAATTTTTCACAGACTTCATTAAGTAGGTGTTAAATTAAACAATTAATTTATAATTAAAACATCGTAGATAATAAATCGAACAAGACTTATAGTGATGCTAATTAATAAATTTAAAATTTCTCAATTTCTTATCATTGTCTTAACGTATATTAAAATGGTATTAATTATGATTATTGCGTTGACTAGCTGTGCCCGTGACTTCGTTCAAGTAGAAAAGTGACTTTGGATTGTTCTTTACAGCTCCTCCCCCGTAGGCGATAGCATGATTATATATGGAGCATACATGTTAACAGAGACTTTTAGTATTCATGCAAAATTTGAAGTAATTTTATGCAGTACTTGTTGAATTTAGCTCGGACATACATACGGGCAAACAGACAAAAATTAAAAAAACTATAGGCTTCGATATCGATTCAATAACACGTCACAAGTAAATAAAAAAAAATGGCTCTTAAACTGTCAAACACCAAGCGGTCACCGGTGACCGCAACCTATTGTTCTATAATTGTTGCGGAGAACCTAACGGGTAACCGGGGCTCCGGCTCGACGTGCAGGAGAAGGAACGGGGTGGTTTTTAGTCAGTAAGAGTTTGACACTCCCTCCCGCCTCACCCAGGCGGGAGCAGTCATTCGATGATTTTCCCCCATTAAAAAAAAAAATTGTTCTATAATTGTGTCTGTATTGACGGTACTCGACGAGTTAATTTAGATCCAAGTTAAAACTGTCAAATAATTTAATATTGTTAACTGTTTAGCATCTATAAAATATCTATTACCTACTGATTTTCTGGAGATCTGCCCCGGTTGGTAAAGGCCTCCTCCAACCTTTTCCATTCATGTCGTTCTTGACCTACTCTGTGCCATGTAACTCCTGCCACTCGCCTGACATCCCGTCAAAAGTACTGTTCAAAAAAATATTCAACATACATTATTGACTTTTTTATATATAGAGAATATTATGTATGTTATATTCGTTTGATAATATTGCAAGATGGAGTTTTAAAGAGAGACTTGTAACTGTGGGTTGTACGTACGTATATAGTTTTAAGGATTTTATGTTAACGTATTTTTTAATATTTAATTTACTACATAGTATAGAACAAAGTCGCTTTGCTGACGGAAATTAGTTTAAAAATCCAAGCGGACAGATGGCTCTGTTCCTAAGTACGCTTGGAATTTTCCTTCGAGCCGGATCACAATGAATGATAAAGTTTGCGGTGTCGTAATGCGCATGTCAGACTATGCGCTTTGCGCTGCTTATCGCTATGCTCCTCGCACTACCGTGATTTGCCGCGATGTTGCCCTTTCTGCGCACACACTACCCTACTCGCTCAATTAATCGCGACGCTTCTATTGCCGGTCCTCGTTGCCTCTTCGTATTGCCGGTCCTCTGGCTCGTGCGCAAAAACCGACAATATAGGGAGCAGTGGGCAGGTCGAGGAGCATGACGTGTGACATGACGAGTACTGTTGCGACACTATGTCTCTGCCTCCTTTCCTCGTTACTTCCCATACCACTCGTCGAGTGTGTGGCAGGCGCATAATACGAAGCCAAGCGCGTGCTGAAGTTGAGCGTCCCGGTACCTACGGAAATTACGTGTGTACCTACGGCGCGGCGTGGTATAGTGAAGTTGTTGCCACGTCGACCGGGTCGCGATCGCCGCGAAACGCTTCGTCTCAGCGCCGAGTAAAGCTGAAGAAGAACTAGCCAGAGTACGGGAACGACTCGATTAAGGACTTAGTTAGAGGATCGCGCGATGAGTGTCGTCTCTGGTCATCTCCGTTAAGAATTGTTAGTGCACGCAATATTGTAATGTATGATAATAATTGACGTAGGGTAACTGCGTTAATTATTATTTAATTCGCGGTCCGAACGGCGTATGCCATGATATCATGTTAGGAACTATTGATGATTTAAAGGGCATTGAGTAAAATTGGTGCCTTTCTTTTTTCTGGCGGCAGTCGATGATATACGGAAAATATTATCTAGAATGACATTACAAACGAAATTGTCTATGGGCTCATATGGAAATCTCAGTCTGGACCGAGTTATGAGCGTTGAAAGGAGCTGGAGTCAAACATTTTACTTTGGTTTTTTTATTCAAATTATTCATATTTTTGTCACCATTACTAACATCAAATTGCGCGTCACTGTACACCTGGCACAGGAATACCATATCACACCACAATATGTACATAAAGTCAAAGTCAAAGTCAAAATCATTTATTTCAATTAGACCAGGAAGACACTTTTGAACGTTACAACCAAATATTTAAATATTAAATAAATAATAAGAAAAAAATGTCAGTCTGTAGGTCAGTCCTCTAGTGAAGCTATTTGCTCGTTCCAAAGTGTAGATTCCTATGAAGAAGAACGAGCAAAAAACTCCATAGGTTACTCTTTTTCAACCATGTTCACAATACAACATTCTTTCGTTGAGTTCAATAATGTGAGAACAATGTAATACCAATATTTGGTCAAGGAGACGGAAAAAGAAAATAACTTTGAGGACAACAAAAATACAGTCTGGAGCTGACCAGTCCCATTTGACAGCGCCCGTTCACGAACATGACACGTACACCAGCACCGCCCAACTCGACCATGTTGTAGGGAATCGAGCGATCCACTGCCCGTGCCACTGCCAATGAGACTTTTGAGTGAGCATGACAACTCCAAGCTGACACACATGCATTCTACTAGTCTAATTTAATTTAGTTAGTTACAGGGCTCTCACATTTACAATAATTATATAAAGTTTTTTTTGTATTTTTGTATGTTTGTAATGAATAAACTCAAAAACTACTGGACCGATTGCAATAATTTTTTCACCATTAGAAAGCTGCATTATTCAGAAGTAACATAGGCTATATAATATCACGCTAGGTCCTATAGTTGTGGAGCAGTAACCAAAAATGTTTTAAAAACGGGGGAAAAGTATCGTTTCTGAGGCCTTCCGTGGCGTGCGCTGAGCATATAGTTAAAGTTATACAAAAATGCTCTATAGATGAATTGTTCATCTTAACATTATTTTTAAAAAAGTCCGCGAGAGCATATGTCTACCTTTTATAGTTTACCCATAACAATCGTTTTAATGAATGGTTCAATCCTTATAAAAGTTTGCTCTAGATAACTTTTGAATTGTTCAATCGGTTACCTTAAGACTATTAATTCATCCAAAAGATACCTATTAGGTAAGTAAAAGAAAAACAAAAAAAACCTTAAAACAACAAAGAAAAACAAAAAAATAAATAAAAAGATGTAAATATTTTTCAATAAATGTAAAAAACAATTTAAGTACAAACTTTTACCTCAACCAAAACAAACAACAACAAAATAGGTAGGTTCCTATTTAAGAAGAAAATAATTAATTAAATAAATGAAATAAGTAAATGAAGTCCGGTAAAATATTTTCAAAAGGTAAATACTTCATAAATAAAAAAAAAACTGAGAATAAATATAAATAAAACGTAAATCTATGTAAAAAATCTTAAGTCCCCCCGTGCGAAGCCGGGACGGGCCGCTAGTTTACAATAATTATATAAAGTTTTACAGTGTACATTTGAACAAAATGGCTGTATTTGACATGATTGGAACTCATTGGAACATCATTGTTTTTCGCTATCCTGTGGAGCCGGACCAGCCTGCCTCCAAGCATTTTTATCCTCTATGTAATCATTAAGTTTGTAGTATGCATTTCCACATTACGGTTTTTTTTATATATAATTTAAATTTTGACTCATTCAAGTGTTGAATTTCCTCCGGAATTTTATTATAGCATTTAACACAGAATCCCATAAAGGACTTTTGTACTTTTGTCAATCTAAATAGCGGCTGACTTAGTCTATCCCTATGTCTAGTTTGATAGTGGTGTCTGTCAGACACTTTAACAAACAACTGTAGGTTTTTCCTAACATACATAATGTTTTCATAAATAAATTGACACGAAACGGTCATAATATTGATCTCCTTAAACTTTTCTCTGAGAGATTCGCGACGACCTAGGTTGTAGATAGCTCTGTCGGCGCGCTTTTGTAAGATAAAGATAGACTCAGTGTCCGCAGCGTGTCCCCACAGCAAAATGCCATACGACTTGATGCTATGGAAGTAACTGAAGTACACTAGTCTTGCCGTGTCTATGTCGGTTAACTGTCGGATCTTCCAGACAGCATAAGCTGCAGAGCTTAATCGTCCCGCTAGAGATGTAATATGAGGACCCCATTGCAATTTGTCATCTACAGTAATTCCCCGGAATGTAGTCTCTTTTACAAATTCTAATTTCCGACTATTTAATAATATCTCACATTCCTTACTTCCAACATTTGGCAGAACAAATCTAATACATTTCGTTTTCTTATCGTTTAGCACTAAGTTGTTTATTGTAACCAATGTTGAACCTTCATCAGAGCATTATTTACGTCCTCATAATTATTTGTTCGTCTATTTATTTTAAAAACGAATGATGACACATCATTCGTTTATTTTCCGGCTCGACCGGAGTAATACCACGGCCTCACAGAAAACCGGTGTGAAATAGCGCTTGCGCTGTGTTTCACCGAGTGAGTGAGGGTACCGGAGGCCCAACCCCCCCCCTCATAATGTCGCAGTTGATACAAGAGTTTCTTTCTACCCCAGGAGGGTACCAACTGCGTTGGAGAATCCCTCTCTGGACGTCCATTTTCAGAACTCAACTACCCTGAGCGTGGACGTCCAGGCCGCCCCACATCGTACTCTGGGGGGGGCAAAACTGCGCATCATAAAGCTGGAGGCAAGAGCAGAATAACCATGGCACCCCTTGCCACGCTGAATGTGGACTTCTGCAACATAAGGGGATTACACACCAACCTCAATGCTGTCCATCACCACCTAGAGACAGCAAAGCCGGCCTTGCTCTTTTTGACTGAGACGCAGATATCGTCTCCGTTGGACACATCCTACCTCACCTACCCTGGGTATGGACTGGAACATTCCTTCCTGCCTAGGGCCGGGGTGTGCGTGTACATCAGGGACGATATCAGCTCACGTCGCCTCAGTAATCTTGAAGGTAGGGACCTGTCCACCTTATGGCTGCGTGTAGATAACGACGACCACCCCCGTGTCTACGCGTGCCTATATAGGTCCCATAGCGGTGATAGCGAGACTGACCGACTCATGGACCACATCCAGACGGCTGTAGATCTTGTGCAGGGGCAGATATCCTCAGCGGAAGTGGTCTTGCTTGGCGACTTCAACGCCCATCACGCCGACTGGCTCTGCTCCAGTAAGACTGACCACGCGGGGAGATCTGTCCACGACTTGGCTCTTGCTTCTGGCCTAACACAACTGGTGACCGTGCCCACGCGAATCCCGGATGTGGAAGGCCAGAGGTCTTCACTGTTGGACCTTCTGCTGACCTCTCACCCGGACGGCTACAGCGTATCCGTCGAAGCCCCTCTTGGCTCATCGGATCATTGCCTTGTCCGGAGCTCTGTATCTTGGACGTGCACACCGCGACTACAAGAGGTACGCGGTCGCCGTGTATGGCACTATAGGTCGGCAGATTGGGATGGGATGCGGTCCTTTTTTGCATCCTACCCTTGGAGGCGGGCTTGCTTCTTGCAGGATGATCCCAACGCCGCTGCCAATTCTGTTGCTGATGTGGTGCTGCAGGGGATGGAGCTTTTCGTCCCATCTTCTCTGGTCCCCGTCGGTGGCAGATATCGGCCCTGGTTTGATGCTTCTACCAGAAAGGCCTCACGCAGAAAGCAGGAGGCCTACCAAGCCTGGGTCGATGCGGCGGTGGCACGGGATGTAAATACCAGTGCACTAAAAAAGGAGTATAACTTTGCCTCCAAGTCCTTCAAAAGAGCTATTGCGGGTGCCAAGTCGCAGCACATCGGTAGAATTGGTGAGAGGCTGGAGCGCCTTCCTTCAGGAACTCGTTCATTCTGGTCGCTCGCCAAAGCTATCGAGGGCAATTTCTGCAGGCCGTCATTTCCACCTCTGCACATGGGTGAGGATTCGTTGGCTCATAACGCAAGGGATAAGGCTCAACTTTTGGCAAAAATCTTTGCATCCAACTCGACACTGGATGACGGTGGGCGCGAGCCTCCTGTTGTGCCTTGGTGCGGAAGGTATATGCCGGATGTGCGGTTCCACCAGCGCACGGTACGTTTGGCGCTTTTATCCCTTGACGTCCATAAGTCGAGCGGGCCTGATGGGATCCCACCCATTGTTTTGAAAATGTGCGCCCCCGAGTTGGCCCCAGTTCTAACACGTCTTTTTCGGCTCTCTTATTCCTCAGGCGTAGTTCCGACGTCCTGGAAGACAGCTTTAGTCCACCCAATCCCTAAAAAAGGTGATCGATCTAACCCGTCTAACTACAGACCGATAGCCATAACTTCCCTCTTCTCGAAAATAATGGAGTCCATTATTAACTGCCAGCTCCTGCGTTACTTAGAGGATCATCAGCTGCTCAGTGACCAGCAATACGGTTTTCGTAAAGGTCGGTCTGCTGGTGATCTCCTTGTTTACCTAACGCATCGGTGGGCACAGGCGATCGAGTCTAAGGGGGAAGCGTTGGCAGTAAGTTTAGACGTGGCGAAGGCCTTCGATCGGGTTTGGCATAGAGCGCTTCTTTCGAAGCTTCCTTCCTACGGACTTCCCGAGAAATTATGCAAATGGGTCTCCTACTTCCTTGCAGACAGAAGCATTAAAGTCGTCGTCGACGGTGAATGCTCTGACTTGATGTCTGTAAATGCAGGCGTCCCTCAAGGCTGCGTGCTATCGCCTACATTGTTCCTCCTCCATATCAATGACATGCTGCAAATCAGCGGCATTCATTGTTATGCGGATGACAGCACAGGCGATGCCTACTACACCGGCCGCGCTAACATTTCTCGGGAAAACGTCATAGAGAGCCGAAACAGACTCGTGTCTGAAATCGAGACCTCTTTAGGGAGAATCTCTGATTGGGGTGGACTTAATTTGGTCCAATTTAACCCCACTAAGACACAAGTCTGCGTGTTTACCGCTAAGAAACTGCCGTTGGTCGTCTCTCCTCAGTTTCAAAGCACCCCCCTAACTGCCTCAGCCGGTATTGGAATACTTGGTGTCAATATTTCGAGCGACGTCCAGTTTTGCGGTCATTTAGAGGATAAGGCCAAATTAGCCTCGAGGAAGCTTGGTGTGCTCAATAGATCGAGGCAGTATTTCACCCCGACCCACCGCCTGCTTCTATATAAGGCACAGGTGCGGCCCCACATGGAATACTGTTCTCATCTTTGGGCGGGGGCACCCCAGTACCAACTTCTTCCTCTGGACCGCATTCAGCGGCGTGCCGTTCGGATTGTTGGATGTCCGGATGTTTCAAACCGGCTCGACACTTTGGCAATGCGTAGAGATGTAGCTTCATTGTGCATTTTCTACCGCTTATACCACGGGGAGTGCTCTGAGGAATTGTTTGACCTGATACCTGCCGCATCTTTTCGCCATCGACCCTCACGACAGCATATGCATCCCCATCATATAGATGGTTGGCAGGCCACAACTGTGCGGTTCTCACGTAGCTTCCTGCCTCGCACAGCAAAACTGTGGAATGATCTGTCGTCGGCGGTATTTCCGAACCGATACGACCTTCAAACCTTCAAGAGAAGAGCGTACTCCTTTTTAAAGGGCCGGCAACGCACCTGTGACTCTTCTGGTGTTGCGGGTGTCCATGGGTGGCGCTGATCGCTTACCATCAGGTGATCCGTCTGCTCGTTTGCCTCCAATTCCATAAAAAAAAAAGTATTTGTATATTTCGTTTCACAGCAAATAATACAATATGTGGATCATTTTGAAATAAATATGGCAAATCATTTATATATGTTAAAAATAGGAATGGACCTAGTATTGAGCCCTGCGATACGCCCATAGACATGCTAGCACCCTGTGAGTTTACTTTGTTTACCTGAACTTTAAGTTGCCTATCCTGAAGGTATGACTTAAACAGATTCAGCGATACACCCCGAATGCCGTAGTGTTCCAGCTTCAGCAATAGTGTCTCGTGTTAAACACAGTCGAATGCCTTCGAAAGATCGCAATATATTCCGATAGCATCCCGTGCCTCTTCCGACGAGGCAAAAACCCGCTTAATTAGTGCTACCCGTCATGCAGCGTCTCTTGGTGAACCCGTATTGTTGGATATGAAATATAGAATTCATGTTAAAGTGAGGCAGCATCTGAATAAGCATCAATCTTTCAAACACTACTGAGCACTGGCAAGATAGAGGTCGGCCTATAGTTATTAGGTTCCGCACTATCATCGGATTTAAATATTCCTATATATTGATATTCCCAAGCACTAATTTTTATCAGCTATTTTCTCTCAGTCGATAACTTGTGGGATGCTTCTAGGAGTTGTGTCATGAAGCTTCATGAGTGTCAGCTGTGGTACTAGTGGTGGGTTGAGTAGTGGTAGCCGTCCAAACATCTAATATAGTATTTTTTTTTTGCCGTTGACTCCTGGTGGGAGATTCATCTACTTTATAGTTAGCATAATTTTTTGAAAAAAGGAAACCGTCGACTTAGTAAAGTGATGGACTATACGCCAGATAAGCGCATAATTTTTCCATAACATGTGATTCGTCGGAATATAATCCACCACTTTGTGACTGAATGACTATCTTATTACTGTCTTATGCTAGCTGCAGATTACAGTTTTCCTTGTAGTTAAATTAGTTACTAATCGGGACTAAGTCGGGAGAAGTAGAAAGAAAAATGATTTGACGACTGCCGCTACTTCGTCGTGCGTCGGTCAAGACAATTGTACATTTTGTGAGTTTGTGAGGATGTATGTGAGTGTGTGTGGATGTGTTTGTTACTGATTCACGCAAAATCTACTGATCGGATTTAGATAAAATTTCACAGTAATGTAGGTTATATATCAGAATTATAAATGGGCTACCATTTTTATTGACTTTGTGTTATTTTGGCGTAATATAACACAAAATGTAAGCCAACTCGGGCCTCTGAGATCTATCTGAATATTCAACATTTTCGGTTTTCGGTTTCTGTCTATCGAAATCCTTAACACGTTGACGGACAGTACTCTCTCACATGTTATGGTTGCTGAGACAGTACTATTTTTCATACATTGCCCATAGGCGTAGCGTCACAGCGCAACTATTATAATAACACATGATATGACAGAACGGATATAGACGTGAACGTCATAAGGCGTTCTGTCACTGTATGATATGTATTTTTGGCTGGACTGGCTTGGACTGGCTTGACGCCTACAGGCAGTACTGTCCGTCAACGTGTTAACCGAGAACTAAATAATTGAAGCATCTAAAGGAGGACTGCTGTCTTATAGCAGTCATGTTTTGGCGACATTGACTGAAAGAATACGCCCCGCTCTTCAATAGCGTCAGAAGTGGCGACATGATGTATAGCCCATAAAAGTGGGTGACATCGTGCTGATTTTCGAAGAGAATCAGCCTCATAATGCTTGGCCTAAAGGTGTGATTAGCGCAGTTTATTCAGGTCGTGACGGCCATATCAGGGTAGTCACAGTTAAGACCAATACGGGTTCTATGAAACGACCAGTTGTAAAAGTCATTGTGTTGCCTACTGACGTGACTCGCGGCTCTCGCCAACAGTCGCCGCCAAAACGAGTGAGCGTGTTTGATAACGCTCCTAATCACATGGAGACGAGCAACACCAGTGGCGTTACAAATGTGTTACCGGCTTTGGGGCTTAGGAATTTTTAAGATTGGAGAGTTTGGGGAGGGGAGAAACCTCACAAAAGCAGTGATTTTTAAATTATATTTATTTTTCAGCAGACATGTACAAAATTATTTCACTTTTGACGTTGATAGCTGCGTCGTCAGCCCAGTACCTGCCCAATGGCTGTCCGTCAGACTTCAAAGTACACATCCTGCTGCCACATGAGTCAGACTGTTCAAAATACTACATTTGTAGTAATGGCAAAAAAATTGAAATGAGCTGTGAACCCGGCACACTATTTGACATTAATATGCAAGTTAGTAAGCAGTATATAACCTCCCGTGAGATAAAAGATAGCCGATCTGTTATTCCAGACTATAATTTATCCCTGTTCTTGTACGTACATAACATCACGTCTTTTATCTACGAAGGGTAGGCAGCCGTGCACATTGTGGCACTTAATGCCATTGTACAATGTAACAACAATTTTTCACTACCTATTTATGTTATGAGTCCCATGTAATAGGGGGTGAGCCTATTGCCATATACCGGGCACATTTCCTGACTCCATGCAACTACGGAGAATTTCATAAAAAACGCAGTAATACTTCGTCCGACCCTGGATTCAAAGTTGAGACCCCTTGCCCGGCCGTCACGGCCAATGAGGCAGTCAAGTCAGCCTGTTGTATAGATAATAAAACTGCAACTTCATCTTCCAGCTCTGCAACTGGGCGGATGAAATTGATTGTCCTCATCCACCATCAAGTTCATCGTCAACAACACCACAGAAGCTCAAACACGTCTTGCCCAATGGATGTCCTTCAGACTTCACCATACATTACTTGCTTCCCCACGAGACGGACTGTGACAAGTTCTACAGTTGCAGCAGGGGACGGAAAATTTTGATGCCTTGCACCTCTGGAATGTGTTTCGATTACACTATTCAGGTAAAAACGTTGGTTTATTTTTATCGTAATGAGAAATACAAAAATTATGTCCCAAAGGGAAAAAAGAAACTGAATAATTTCGTGCCAGATAAGAGTAGGAGCAAGTATAGTTAGAATTTTCAATTATTTTAGTAATAATAAATTATCGTGCATAACTTACATTATCTAGGGAAAGATGCGAAAAATTATTTAAAGGTAAGTCTAACTTTGGATCGAGTATATTCTTTAAAAACGTTACTTCCAGCGATGCGGCAACCCGTTCTTGGTCAATTGTACTTCGGGGTCCACTACATCGGTTTTAGCCCCAATACCAATAGCAGATGATCTACCATCTGTAGAATTGTTGCCCAATGGTTGTCCTGTGAACTTCTCCTACAATTATCGAATTCCACACGAATCGGACTGTAAACTGCATTACCACTGCCAGTTTGGAGAGAAAATTGAAATGCAATGTGACTATGGACTATTGTATGATTATAGACACATGGTAAAAACATTTTAATATTTGTTTTTATTTCAGCCATGATAGCTCCACTGCAAGATGGAGTCTTTCCACTCCTTTGTTTATGAGATAAGTCAGGCACATGATGGTAAGCAATTGGCACCGCCCATGCACAACTGAAACACCACAGGGGTTACAAGTGCGTAACCGGTCTTTTGGGGATTAGGATATACAAAACTCAATACAAAAACTCTCACCTAACTACTGTGGATAATTGTGTATTTTTAGGTATAACAGTTGACAAAAATTGCAGCTGGAAACCACATATTGATAAAATTGTTGCAAAAATTGATCGTTTTGTATATGTGCTAAAAAGGATTCGACAAACAACAAATCATCAGACGACAATGCTTGCGTATCATGGCTATGTATCGTCCGTACTTCGTTACGGTATAATAATTTGGGGGAACTCAGTGGAGGTTGATAGAGTCTTTAAATCCCAAAAAAAAAGCATTCGAGCAATCTGTGGAGCTATTTTTTAGACAGCTGTAAACCACTGTTTCAAAAATTAAATATCCTACCTTTACCATGTCTATACATTTTTGAAATATGTACTTTTGTAAAAAGAAATTACATTCTATTTGAAACTCTGGAAGACAGACCAAATAGCCTAACACGGCATAAAGACAGACTTCGTTTACCACGAATAAAATTAAAATTATTTAAGAAAAATGTATATTGTATGTCCATAATCATTTATAATAAATTACCAAATAGTTTACAAGAATTACCATTGACATTATTTAAGAAAATGCTTTTTAAACTTTTGCTATCCAAGTGTTACTATAGTATTAAGGACTATTTAGAAGATAAGACGATAGAATCTTGATAGTGTAATTTTAATAATAAATTTGCACGCCATATACGGCAGGATTCGCTGGAAAAAATTTTTACTGTAACACCTTTTGTACCGTATTTTAGCAAATAAACATTTTTGATTGATTGATTGATTGATTGGAATTTCAAGATTGTTGGGGATATTGGGAGGGTAAAATTTTGCACATGAACACTAGTATATTAATTGTAGTTGTTTTGGTCCGTGCGTCACTGCAAGGGTGCCAACTGGAAACCAGTGTGTTACTTACTGTGCCCAGCTCATATTCAGTTGGCGAGCCCTTTTGTCATTGGCATATTGCCACCTTGTTGTTCATTTTATTATAACGTTTTTTTTTTGTTTTTTTTTTTGTTTTTTATTGTAATTTTATGTTAGCGTATTTGGTGCATCAAAATAAATTATTTTTCTTTCTTTCAAATAGGGTTTAAAGCGGGTGGTACAATGTATGTAATACTAATTTAAATTAATTTTCCAGGCATGTGTGTATCCAGAATTCGCAAAATGTTATTCAGGAGAAGTAACGACTTCATCAAATTTAGCATTAGTACCACCAGCAGACGAGCACACAACTGGCTGTCCAGCAGACGTAGCGGCCGATCTCTTATTGGACCATGAGTCGGATTGTGCCAAGTTCTATATTTGTAACCACGGGAACAAAGTTGAAATGGATTGCCCGAACGGCTTGTGGTTCGACTTTGTATTGCAGGTAAGCGAATTTTATTTTTTAAACAAAATATATTACATAACACACGCAAGTGCGACTGCGGATCAAAGGGTCTCGGGTTCGATTCCCGGATCGGACAAAGTAACATCCACTTTTCACTATTTATGTTATAAGTCCCATGTAATAGAGGGTGAGCCTATACCTATAGAGTCATAATTATACCGGGCACAATTCTAGACTCCGTGCTACTACTGAGAATTTTTTAAAAAACCCAGTAATACTTTGTCCGACCCGGGAATCGAACCCGAGACCTCTTGCCTGGCAGTCGCACTTGCGACCACTCGGTCAACGAGGCAGGCAGTTGTGTTTGTTTATTTGTATGGTGAGTGTTTAGTGAATATTGCTATATTACACCAGGGTCAAAGCCTACAAAAATGGTAAAAAGTGAAAAAAATTTACAGTAGGATGAAACCCATTAGAAAAGGAGGGGAATATGATCAAAATGAAAGGAAAAATAAATTACGGTCGATCCGAGTTCGGGAAGTGGGAGGGGGTGAGCTT